CGTCTACGGTGTGTGTGTGTGTGTGTGTGTGTGTGTGTGTGTGTGTGTGTGTGAGTGTGAGTGTCGGGAATGTGTGAGTTTGTGTTATTGTAAGGGTACTGATTTCCGGCTGCTACAGAAACATCGTTTTAACCGCTTCTTTCTGTTCCTCCATCATCGTTTATCATTAATTAGATAACAGGATGTATTGTGGCTTTTTTTAAAGCTCTTTGGATTTTTAACTTTTAGAAGAGCAAACTGTTGCCACTTATCATATCATCATGTTTAAGTTGATGTTTGTATGTAGTGTCTCTACTGTGACATGTCTCCATGCTTTAATATTCAAAAAGCTCTTTATTTTTCTCATGCTGCTGATTGGGCAACCGCTTAGAGATGTCCCGCCCCTTAGCCTATCAGGTACAATGTGTTGGAGCAGCAGCCAATAGAAGCGCAACAATATAACACACTACAGGAAAGAGAAACCCCTTAATAGGGCCTCTTTTACAGTCTTCAAGCCAGCATACTTTTCTGGCTATTCTGACCCCAAATCCTCTTTGAAGTGGACATATAAGCAAGAAGGTCGAGGTTAGAATGGAAAAAGTAGGTGTTAATTGCCTTCATACTACAGCACATTATTTGAAAGGGCAGCTGCAGTACATCATAAAAGTAAAAGTGTGAAAAAAGGGAGATGTTACTTTTTGTATCTAATGATTGCAGCTGAAGGTTTTATTGCCTCAGATATTTCAGGGATTTGAACTGGGGACCATCCAATAATAAGCCTGCTTCTGTCACCTCATGCTGCTGCTGACTTCTCTCTGCAGTTATGTTTGTTTGTTTGTTTGTTTGTTATGATAAGATCAACCTTTATTAATCCTTGAAATGCAGGTGTCAGAGCAGCAAAAAGAGTGAACCAGGATAATGAAAAATCCAGGTAACAGTATAACTAAAAAAACTACGAAATGAGGTTAACATACAGTTATGAAAGAAGATAATTATGAATCCATATGTATACATGTCTAATGATGCATGATATATGTGCATTTCTCTGCTCACCTGTTCCTCTGCAATCGTTTCCTCCTCTTTCTTTTCTCCTTCCTCACTCTCTGGGTCTGTTGTTTTTGTTTCCCCTGCAGGAGGTAGCAGCTGCTCAGAGACCGACTCCTCTTCTCTCTCCTCACCGAGCACCTCCGCAGACTCCTTAACGTCTGTCCTGGACTCTGGAGCAACGAAAAAAAATACACTTTTTAAAAGGGGGTTTACAACGTATACAATATAGCTCCAGTTTCAGTTAACTTATAGGTAGATCTGGTTTGCAGATAAAGGACGATCGATCCGTTATGACACACATTCTACTAAAAAAGTACCGACTGCTTCATCACCTCGTACAAACGTGAGCAATCCAGAAAGCTAATAGGTATCATAGCATCTGTGTGACACTGTTTGTTAATGTGTGCGATGGCTGCTGCATTACAACGTATTTAAATGTACCAGCTGGAGGTTTTGCATCCACATGATTTTCCTGGGTGATGTTGTTGACTTTGGCGTCTGCGACATCTTCTTCTTCGCTGGTGGCAGGTTCTGGTTTGATGCCGTTCTTCTTCAGGTGAGCGGCGTCTTCTGTCTCCTGCTTGGCATCCTGAGCTAGAGAGTACAGCCTATAACACAAAAACACACATCTCCTTTTAATACTGGACGTTTGTTAATACACCTTTCGGTCATTTAAAAGACTGGGGAGTGCTCATACATGCATGTGTTTCTTATTATCTCAATCCAAATCCATACGTCAAACTAATTCGTAGCACTTTGAATTGCCTTGTGTTGAAAGGTGCTATAAATAAACTTGCCTTCCCTGAGCAGGTTTTTAGAATACGCAGTCACAAAATTGAGTTTGCTGTTGATAGATACTTTTCTCCCACAATGCAATGCACAGAGGAAATGGAGCAGCAACCTACAGCTGGTACTTTTTTTTTTTTTTTTTTTTTAAATGGTGGATTCTGGCAAAACAGCTCCAAAAAGACCTTTGAAAACAAAGTTATCAAACTAAAGAAAGACACTTTGCCGTCTTCATGAATGTCATTTTTTATTAACTTAGTGATAAAACAGACATAGTGTAACCCTTATTATATTGTACATGATTTATAGAATGACATGGCACAGCTCAAGTCTTGTGGCATGTTTTTTGTCTTGTGTAAGTTAAGGAGTTTCTGAAAAATGGTGTGAAGTGCTTTAAGGAAATGTCTTGAGAATTAAAAACAAGATCAAAGTGATTCCTGCGTCATCGCTGCAGAAAACTGACTGGGGATCAGTCCATCATGAGTCGAGCAGCCAAGAACTACAGATGTTTCTGACTGTCACGATGAGAAATTCAAAGAGTCTGAAGGATGTTTACAAGCAGAGTGAATTATTCTGACCATGGGAATGTGTTTGAATGTGACTGATTAGCAGAAAGAAGTGTCATCAAATCAATTTTATAACTGAAATGAAACCTCAACTCCTCAAAGCAGCTGTAGGAAAAGGGGAATTATAAACATTGGTTTCACATTCAGACCAATGCCATAGACTTGTATTTACACTGGGGAAATCACAGACATGAGCTGATGTCATTCATTCATTCATCACTTATCTGCCGCCTGCTTAATCTGTTTTAGAGCAGCAGGGATTTAAATCCCAGAATGCACCGGGCAGAAGGCCAGGCGGTCATTCACGAACAGGGACATCCTGTTCAAAGGGACAGATTTAAATCTGCAATCCACCAAAGCTGCATGCTTTTCTTCGGAGTCTACAAACGTAATTCAAAAAAAAAGCATGGTAATTAAATAATAATGGAAAACGCTGTTACATTACATTACATTGCATTTAGCTGACGATTTTGTCCAAAGCGACTTACTGAAAGCTGTAAAGCGAAGAAGATGGCAATATTACCAGGGGTGCACATAACTTTTTTTGCCCTGGTTCTCAAAGGAGCACCTGGAGATGTTGCTTGGTGCGCATCTTTAAAATGAAATAAACCGTACCTTTTGAGGGGTTCTTGACTTTATGAACGGGGGGGAGGGAGGTGCACTAGTGAGCACGCTCATGAACTGTTCGCCGGAGCCTCGCAGCGGGGTTACTGTGTGGCCCTGAATATTACTCTTGTTCAAGCCCCCAAAAACCCTGACAAAGGGGGCTTTACAGTTTGTACAGAATACAGTATCATCTGTCCTTAGACCCTCCATGAAGACACCCCACTATTAATGGGGAAAAAATGAAAGAAACCTCAGGGAGAGCAACAGAGGAAGGATCCCTCTCCCAGGACGTTCAGATGTGCAATAGGTGTGAGTACATTTAAAATATAATACATTTACAACATAGGAAGTAGGTGTGCGTCAGGCAGGACCAGAGCAACAGGCACAGCACGACTAATGATCCAGGAAATATGTTTAACCCTGTATCAATGGGGACATCAAAGCCTTTTTTGATAGGAAGAAGCAGGAGACTTTGATGGGGCTTAAGGCATGGATGTGTTAACAGAAGTGGATACAGCTTTGGGGGGGGGGGGCACCGTTCGTTCCTGTAAAGGTTGCACAGTCCTGAATGAAGAGAGCAAGAATCCTGAGGTCTTCTGAGGACCCTCGGCATCATAGCGCATGCACTTTTGCGTTTCCTTAAACAGCTGCTGCATCACAGGAGTTTCTCATTCAGTGTCAGCTTGGCCAAATAAATGAAGGAGGGTAAATATTTATGGATTTTAGTTTTCAGATAACATAAGATAGACCTTTATTTATGGCTGTAGGGAAATTCAAGTGTCATGGCAGCAGCAGAATAAGAAGAAACACAGATATTACGAATAATAAGTCAAATAAAAAAGCACATTTTACAACTTTTAGGACGTTACGTTGGAAAAGGGCTATTGAAGTGTTCCTACTGGGTAGTTGATTAACGTAAAAAAAACGCAATGCAAGTCAATGGGGAAAGTCTTTCTGGGCCCAATGGCATCACGGACCCACAAGGAAATTGTAGTTTGGCCTCTACGGAAATTAGTTTCAAAGACATAGCACACTTCCTGTGGGCTGAGTCTGTTCTGAAGGAGCTGAATTAAGAGCTTTGGCCATCTAAGCACAGCCACGAAAACAGACTAGAAGGTTGGATAGAGGCCAAAAGCTCCATGCTAGGTGTGGGGTTAGAAAGATAATATATATGAAGTGAAGAGCAGCTGTTAACAGGACCCTAGAAAGTGCAAATTCCAACAGGTTTGCCCAACACAGAGGTGACACCAACAACACACCCCTGTGAGTTCAGCGGGACACACGGGGTCCTCGATCACCAGTGCCTCCTTTCACAACTCTTCCTCCTCTCTGTCCTAATTTACATTTTCTCTTCTTCCTCTTCCTCCTCTCTTTCCAAGGCAATATGGCTGTGTAACATCCGGTCCAGACTCGAGTTACATTTTTATAAACAGATCAGTGATGTAGACACTTTTAATTAACGCAATCGGTGCTATGAGGACATTGCTTATATTGACGATACAATGTTTTTATCGGATCATTTTAATTGTATTGTTTTAAGTAAGTCTCTTTCCTGTCCTTCTTCCATCCCACTTCAGATCACTCGTCTAGCATGTCCATTTTACCTGACATTATCCAAATTCTTAACAACATTTCTCATAATTTCCTTTTATCTAATGTAGTTATTGGGCACTATTAAGAGTATTTTTGTATAATATGTTCATGACTGATGTGAATGCACAGTGTAAATAAACCATTGACTGTATATCAATTTATCTAAAACATGTAATGACATTTGATAAAAAAAAGTTGATTTAAACATATGCATTGTTTTCTTTACATGCTAGGGCTTTACTCCTGAATCTATCAACTGTTAAAGTTTGAAAGGAAAAAGGTGGAGTCCTCCTACTTGCAGATTGTGTAGTAACAAGTTGGACTTACTTCATCCAGCCTGAGTAGATCTCATGAAGATTGGGGGTCTCCTCTGGTGTTTCCACCTAAACAAACACAAAACATTTTTAGCAGCCTGAAAAAAAAAAACAAGAGAACGTGTTCCAAGAATGTCTCATCTATAATTCAAGAGTGGCTGGACAATATCCCTTCAACCCATCTTGGAGAAACCTAATTTCCTGTTGGTCAGGAATTTAAAGCCACGGGCTCCCGGAAAGGAATCCATGCAGCAAGAAACAAAACTGGCAGTAAGAGAGTGCGTGGAAATGCAATGATGAGCAGGGGAACGATGCCTCTGACAGCAGTGAATGGTTTAATTTTAGAGATTAGTGGTGAGACATTTTTCTCTATTGTGTAGTCTTCCTAAAACTTTGTCAGCAGAAACTTTTGGCTTTATTTTTAGCTCGTGGGCCTGAAACCTGAAACCTGTGACCAGCCAAGACTCTCAATGGCAGACTTTAGAAATAACACATTTGTAATTTGTCTTTATTTCAGTGTAACACAATAAGAGTGACATTATGTAGGAAACATTGTTACAGAATAACACAGCGACTCAACAAAAGGGTTTAAAAACTTACCAAGCATAAATTGGTTTGATTTTAAATTAAGTTTTCATTAAAATGTTGCAGTTTTTATAATATAGCCTACTGAAAAATATGTTAAACGACGATATACTAGCTCTTGGCTCAGCCTCTTGGTGTGTGTGGATGCAGCATGGCTCTACACGTGCACTCTGATCATTTTAGGGCTGCAGCTAATTAATCAATAACTGTTATTATCTTTTAATTATTGTTAATTTAACAACATCATTTAGTAGTTTAGCCTATAAACCTTCAGAAAATAGTGAAAGAAATGCATCAAACTTTCCCCTAGTTCCTAGTAGGACTTAAACCCAAAGATATTCAGCTTTAGGATATGAAATAAACAAATATTTAAAATAGAAATAAATGTGACTTGCTTGAAATATTACCTGAACAATGTATGAATTATAGTTTGTTACCTGCCAATTAATGAACTTACAATCAACTCATTTATTAAAATGACTCATCAATGCCGCTATAGCACATTTATATCAACATGTACAACTTTAATCATTGAAAAACACAAACATGTAAGGGGGTCTGAATGGGTCTCATTGTGCAGTAGCAGGCCCTCAGCAGCGTTGTTTTCACAGCCATGCAGCTCCTGAAACATTATGTTCTTTTCCTTCAGGAGGCCTGAACACCGACACACATGTGCTCATACACACACTCACACATACATACGACGCCCTGCAAATCACTCACTGCAACACTGGAGCAAGAAGCACACTGAAATCACATATATATATTTAATTCAGTTCATGTAAATAATGCAAACGCGCATGCTCGGTAAAGAAATAGCATTAACAATGGTAAATATGATCAGGAACAAGAACACAACGGGAGAATCAGATAGGGTCGGTTTTACACTGAGTAAAGCAGTGAATTTTGAATAATCTGAGCAAAAGTACCTACCTGAGCAATGTGTTTCTCCAGCACCTTGGCAGCTTTCTTGTATCCGTGCACCTTGAGGTGCTGGAAGATGAGAAACAGCAGCGTGGCGTCTTCCTCTGAAGCCATTATGTACGACTGACGGCGGAGAAACCAGCGAAAAACTGGAATATTATATTATGTTATTAACAGTTCACTTCATGCTCGCTATTTAGCGTGCAGCCATGAGCCTCTGACACACGCCCCCTTCGAAATGCATCATGGGAAGTGCCGATTTTGCTAGGGGGCAGAAAAACAACAAGAGCATGTTTTTGGGATTCGATTTTTATTAACATGAAGTTAAACGGACAACTGACACATCTTACGATAATATCATGATGGAAAATAGTTTTTAAAAAGATTACAGATATCTTTACTTATCTACTTACCCATCCTGTCCATGTGTATCCATTCATCATAAGATAAGATATAGTTTATTGATCCAGATTTGGGAGATGTGTTCATCACAGCAGCATAGATAAGACATTGCACATGAGTTCAAGGTAAATACAATACAATAAAAATAAATAAAAAACAATAAAGAATATACATATCAGCAGCAGAAGATAAACAAAATACGCAAAGCAGTGAATATACGTTCAATAATGAAGGATATAAATCTATAGAATGGGTTTATTGGATACACAATATAAATGTAGTAGCCTATGTATATAAATGATGTATTTATTTGCTTTTTTTGTAGTCTACAAGTTAGACACACTTATTTTGTTGTGTGTGCTTAATATATATTTATATAAACGTATTTTATTACATACATGTGACCATTGTGGTCCCATCTATGATTTTCTGCAGTCTTGTTGTCCTCGTCCTTAGCTGTTATGTCTATTTCTGTGTAAGTATATTGAGAGCAATGCAAACAAATTGTATGTGTGCACATCCCTTTATATATATGTGTATATATATATATATGATAAACAGTCTATGGTGAACATTGTGGATCGTAATTACAGTTACTACAATTATTTAGAATAAAAACGTTGAAATGTATTCTTTCTAGATGAAACTTAAAACAGGTTTAAATAGATTTAATTTGTTAGGCATCATCTTATGTTGTTTCTTTCTAGTGGTTTGATATAATGGCTAATTTGCCTCTTTTGATAGATCACATTTCAGAGGTCTGACTTCAGAAAATAGCCAATTTAATAGGAATATTGACCTGAACAACCTAATGTTACAATGGTTATAGTTTCCTAAAAGAGTCATTTGCACACTGGTTAGACACAATCTAGTCTCTGCCGTGTTATTAGTCACTCTATTCTGCCATGTAGTCCTAGTTCTGTAGTCCTAATTATGCTAGCATAGTAACCACATGTGAGTATACTAACATGCTAACCTGCAGATTAAAGTGTTTTCTTTGTGGATTAAATAACCTATCCATCAACTCAAACTATGCTTGAGTTTAATTGACAACATTTTACCTGTCGCTAGTTAGGGGTCCACACTACCAACCCGGAAGTGACAACTTTCAGTGGGCTTTAAACTAAGGGACTGTACCATTATGAGCGGAGTGCAGGGGTGTTCTTTTTTTTCTTGTTTCAGCCAACAGTCTTTCTAAGTATCGCAAAAAGCTGATATTATAAACATTTCTCTTTTAGGACATTTCGAATTAGAATATACATGTAATTGTATTGCCTTCATTGGTTACATTTGATTTGTCTGTACCCATTTAAAGGTGGGGTATGCAATTTTGGAGAAACCAGCTCGAGTGCTGTAGAATTTGAAAATACACAACCGGAAAAAATCTGCCACTTACTTCCAGAGCCCCTCCTCCAACACACACGAACGCGCACATGACCAATGAGGGCACAAGATAAGTATGTGCACAGATGGAAGGCTGACAGGCAGGTAGGCCATCCAGTTATTTTTAGCCGGGCCGGCTAAAATGATTGGTCGTGCTTTTTACAGTACTACGGCTTCCACAGATGATATTTGTTTATGTATTTATTGTCAAAGCATTTAATATATTCATTGCTATCGGGATGTTAAGAGCATTCCATGGAATATAACAAAAAGTGTTTCTGAAATCAATTACATACCCCACCTTTAAAGCCCATGTTTAAGCTCCTTGGGTCAGTCCAGTTGCAAACCTGTGTTTTTCTTATAAAACACAAAAGAAACAAATAAGATTCGTAGTTGTTTTCACCACCTCACCCAAACCATCATGACCATCTCTGGTGTTATGTGTTCTCCCACCGCCACGCAACCAACACAACCACGCACAAAATATGAGTTACTAAAGTTGTTACTTTTATATGTAGTGCAGAAGAGGATTAGGGCCACGAGAACACATTTTTGGGATGTTACAACAACAACAAAAGGTTGAGTTTGGACTTTTTTCTCAGAACTCAACATTTTTATTTTTGTCACATCCCAAATGCTGGCAAAGAGAGACAGCCGATAAGCCATGAATGAAAAAGAGCTCACATGCTGCCTTTTTCTAAATAGGCTTGCAACAGACAACTCCCATTAATACATGGCCTAATTAGAGCTTTTATGGATTTTAATCTGTTTTTCTTGCATTTTTTCTTCTATTTTTATTGTTTTATGTCTTATTTATGTTTATGTTGCATTGTTGGAGGAGCCTGGGATTTATATTGCCATAATAACTAAACTGAATCTGGTCTTGCAACACGTTCCACTAATGCATTGCCTTGATTTTTTATGAATCCTAATTTACGTTCTCGTTTTGCTTGATCTGACTTTGTGCAGTTTTGCAGTTCTGCACAGCTTGTTACGCAAAGAGAGAAATTCCTGGTTTGCTCCGGAGTGCCAACTGGCTCCTCCGGTTCCTCTCAGCTTGCAGTCAAAGCGTTTGGCCGGGGATCTGTCCGGGATTACAGCAGAGAGGGAAATCCGACACGATGACATCAATCACAAGATAACAAATGATTGTATTAAAGACGCGTACTGTCGTTAAACCAAGGGTGTACAATGCCGACTATCACCGTTTTCCCCTGTGTCAAATTAACACCAATTAAACCAAGCCTACCGGATGTTGAGCGTTTCAGCCTTCAAAATAAAGCTGACACGATAGGAAAATCAATGTTATTAAGTGGTTTGGCTGATTCTAATTGACATATGATGATATTTTTTGCTTGTAAGATTAAAATTAGGTTTTCTACAGGCAGAATCAGTACAGCATTTTCCCACAAAATTCAATTAACTAAAAGTATAAAGGACCATCAAAACGAAATGATGATTAAAAAAAAACTATTTAAAGAAACATTTTCTAACATTAAAATATACAAAATTCTCATTAAATATAAATAAAATATAGATGTACCCATACATATAAAATAGAATAAAATATGTGCAGTGTTGGTATGACAAGTGAATAGCCAGGCAGATGCAGTACTTGAGTAAAATTACTTTCAGTAGTTACATTACACCACTGACAGAGTATCCATACAACAAACTGAAATAGCTTAGTGACTACGCATTTAAAAACAAGAACAAAGACTATGACACCACTTTAAAACAACACTTATGTGCAATATGTTTTTATTACAACTGGCCCTAGTTAGTCCACCCATTACTGTAACAAGACTCTTTATGTGCTATAACGATTTTACTAATTTTACATGCCACACTTCACTCTACAGTGCTACACTCATTTTATTGTATAAATGCTACTGCTATTCAAGATTCAAGATTCAAGGGTTGTATTATTATGTGTAGTTACAATGCTTTTTACCTAAGGACTACATACTTGAATGTGTACTTGTGTAAATTGTATCATTTGTATTTTAAATACGCATGCTTTTTTATATAATAGTGTTCTAGTTTCTTCACCATACTTTGCTGTAACAACGTATATGTTCCCTTTGAGGGACGAATAAGGGAATTCTGATCCTGAAAAAGCTTCCACAGGTTCTGCTGTTGTGTGTTTTATTTTGACAGGTCACACCGGAAGTTTCCCCCAGGTGTTGTGTCTGACTTTACTTTGGTCGTATTTCATTATTGAGAGTGTGGACTCTCAGACTGAAGGAAGGAAGGAGGGAAGGGTTTTTGTGGAAACTTGAGGACATGCGGCGTCTTCTGCAAACTTTACTCAACTCTCTGCCAGCTGAAGAAAGAACCGAATAGTGAAGAATGAACTGAGGAGAGGAAGAGGTGAGGAGGGGGGAGGAAGAAGAACTGTTCACTCCCATTGATCCAATATCGAGGTATTGATTTAAGCCTGGCTTTGACATAAAACACAGCTGTAGTGAGGAATAGATGTATGTGTGTGGAGCTGTTTGCACCTGGATCAAACTGTGATGTGAGGCTGAAAGCACTGTGTTATTGGACTACAGTGCATTAGTAACTTGATAACATGCTGCAGACTTCAAACCCCATTTAATGCAGGACCAGTCTGTGCTTGCAAAGCTGCAGAGCTGGGACAAGTACTCAGAACTTGTACTTGAAAGAAAGTAGAAGTACCAGACTGTAGGAATACTCTGTAAAAGTCCTCATTCAAAATGGTACTCAAGTAAAAGTACAAAAGTATTAGCGTCAACACATAGTTGAAGTAGTCATTGTGCAGATTGGTGTTCTCAAAGCTGGTAAAGGTGCAGCTAGTTGTAATGACTTTGTATACTGCAGGGTAGCTTGTGAATTTACTCCAGGTGGAACTAAAGTCTGATTTAACATTTGATTATTTTTCACATCATTCATCCACATCTGTGAAGTAACTAAAGGTATTAAATACATGGAGTAAAAGTACACAATTTACCTCTGACTTTTAGGGGAGTAGAAGTACAAAGTAGCATAACGTAGAAATACTCAAGTAAAGTACAAACCTCAACATTTCACTTAATTACCATACTATAGTAAATCAGAAAAGTACACGCAGGAAAGCAGCGGGGAACAGGTGTGTGCCTTTATCATGAAAGCAGTATCTTATATAAGGGGGAGCCAGCTGAAACATGTACAGTAGTAATGTTTGCCACACAGCAGCTTTTAGTCACTGTCATGGATATGAAATCATCGGTGCGTCATGACTGTAGTGTAAGCATGTCCTAGATTATACAGATGTGTACAATCTGCTTCCCGTTTCCTTTCACAGAACACTAATCTGCACGTCCAACTGCAGCTCTCTCAGAGACAGTAAAGGGTTAAGTTTAAAATATACCTATAAAATCAGTGGATCAGCCCTGAAACATCTGGCAGTGGAGGAGGAAGTATTCAGATCCTTAACATCGGTAAA